GTTTTCCTCAAACTATATGTAGTTTTCCTCAAACTATATGTAGTTTTCCTAGTAAACCTAAATGAGTTACCATCTAGCTACTAAAGGTTTTAATAGATTTGTCAACAAGTGTAGTAAGAGTACTGAAAGCAAATAATGTATTCAAATATACAAAGCAAATAACGTACTCAAATTTCTTGCATTGTTCGCTTGCAGTAGGATTATTTTGGTACGAGTTAGTTATGTGACAGGAAAGGAAGCTATAACGTTCTAACAGATAGTTGTATACTAGCAGTTGAGTAGTTTCTGTTTAAAATTCCTGTGGAGAACAGAAATGGATAATACCACACTTCTATTAACAGCAGCTAGAATAGAATCTTTGCATTAAATCTTTTAAAGAGATTATAATTAACAGTAGGAAATAAAAGTATTTAAGTACCGAAACTGAGAAATTGCTCATATTCTTCATATTCAATAACAGTACTCAAGCTTTAAAATCTGAGATTTCCTTAAAAATACAAATAAAAATTGGTTTAATAATTCTGGTATGGATTTCTAGAAAACAGTCTGCTTCTTCTGATTTAACCTATTAAATATGGCCTACTTCTATTTCAATAAAAGGTGTCAAACATCATGCTGAGCAGAATTTGAAGCATTCTGAGCTTTCAAAAGTGGCCACACTATTTTTATTTATTCCAAGCCTTACTGATAAACAGAACCACTAAACATACAAAATTAAAGCCATTTGCAGTTTACAATTAATTACACGTGTCACCTAACATATCCCTTTAAAAATGGATTCTTTCCTATTCTCAGTGAAAATTTAAAGAGATCTTTCTTGCCTGTCAGGCAAGTCACTACTTGTGCAAATTTAAATACAGTACATTGACTTTAATGCAACAGTGGACAGATAGTGAAGAAGGAAGTGTTCAACAAAGATGTTGCACACTAAAACTTTTTCAGAGTGCAGAGCATGTCTACAATAAAGTGCTTCTCTTAACAAGTTATAATAATAATAGTATAGATGTTTACCTAGTTTTAAAGCTTAAATTCTTAGTAAATTATTTAATCTCCCTGTATGTCCCCAATCCTGCAAGGCACATTCAAAACACAAGCAAAGCACTAACTGTGAAGGATTAAGCTACAATAAAAAAAATGTAAGTGGTAGTAAACTACTGACTAGGTTTGTAAACAGTACCATCCCATTGAATCTTAATGTTCATGCATTGTTGGAGTGAGTTTCTGTCTGTCCTCCAGATGTAACAATCAAGCCAGCTTTCTTGCTAAAACTCTTCTGTGCCTTAGTGTTTTGATGTGGATTCCCACTTCTTTCATCACTTGAACAAAAAACATGTCACGTTTGATGCATTTAAACCTGTGGACTTGATTTACAGTTAACACAATTGATTACTGGCTGGTTTAGATGTATTTAGTTTTGGTGGGGTTTTTTTTAAATGTGTGTGGAGTTCACTTCTGCTGTTCAACCTTACAATGAAGTTGTGCTCAGTACTCCTAAGCTTTTAGTTCTGTTAAAACATAGCTGAGCTGTTTTGTGGAGGCCACAACATTGGCTTGATAATGACTGACTTGATAGAAGTAATTAGCCTCTATAAGACTACAGTGGCAGGTAGAATCAAATTGAGTAATTACTTTTTTGAGGTGCATTTAAGACCAACTTTCAGAAGATTCTTTTCTAATGCAGTCATGAACAAAGTACATCACCACAAGTGATCTCTTGTATAAAATACCGAAATGGGACTTGCTTCATCATGCTTCCAAAGATGTTTCACACAAAATTAATCCCAATAACATCAGATAGAGCTTACAAAAACAGTCCAAGTGCTCTCACAAGGTATACACAGTTAAACATTCCCTTCATACCACAGAAGATGATGCTCTAGGAGCAAGAGGCATTCCATTCCTTTTCAGAAAAATATCACATTGAGTTAATTTTGTGTTTCTCAACTCTTGCAACAGAGCAAACAAAACCAGAAGTATCAACACCAGAGCTCAAAGTTTTCCTCGTTTGTCATTCTAGTTCAGCGTTTTATCACCACCTGCTCATATGCTCCAGATCCTACTCTGAAAGTTTGAAAGAAATTAGTTCAATGTCAATTTAAATGGAAGCTAAACAGCAAATATCACAGATCAGCAGTTTTATTGTTTAATCAACCCAATCAACACCCAGCCAAAAACCCCCCAGCAACCCCCCCAACCAAACAGCTAAATGTGAAAGGTGATTATTATCATACCACTGAGTCACCTACAGTTTAATGCATTAAAGTGTTTTTTGTTATACTGAAGCCAAAATAGAGAATGAAAAGTAATGTTACTGAAAAAGAAGTTACTGTTGGACTTCTCTATAATTTCTTAAACATGACCTTTAGGATACCCCTCCCCACAGGTATATCATATGCAGCTAATACTTTTAATACAAATTTATACATAAACAGATAAATTATCTAAAGAACCAGTAAGTGATAGTTATCTTACATTAGAATACAAGAAAAACATCTTCCAGTCTTTTGTTCATGCATTGTAAAAAAAAAACCCTCCACATGACAGACCATAGTGGATGGTTTTCCACAGCAAATTGCAGTACCGTGTAAAAAATTAATGGGGCAAGCCCTGCCTTAGCTTAGTAGTGTGCCTGGCCTGTTGTGGTAACTAAATTAGGACAGACCTCTCTATACTACAGAAGTGTGTTCTGTACTCAAACACGTTATCTGAGATAAACATTGGTGTGTTCAGTTTGCAGATAAGCCTTTTTTTTAAAATTATCTTTTAAACATCAGGATTGCTTGCACGTATCAAATGCAATTATTTTATTACTTTCAACACATTACTAGCTGCCTTTATACCTAACTTCATAAATAACTGCTGAAATACTAATGATGTGCTAATTTCTTGAGATAAAAATGTTGAGTTATATTGGACTGTAGAAACATGGTATTAGAGCATATTCTTGCCTGTTTCTCATGCTTCTCATCTGAAAAGATTAATACATTCAGGTCGAGTCACATATTAGAGTATCTGAAGAGGGTTTAGAGAAGAAAAAATGTCTCTTGTTCTGAAACAACTACAGGAAGATAATCTGAAGCAGATTATCAAAGGAGCGGGTACAGGGCTGCAGATAGTTGAAAGAGAAACAAACCATTGAAACAAACCATGTAACAAATGGAAACAGGATTCATGAGAAAAACCAAACTGAAGAAAATTACGCTTGTTATCAGGAAGACATACAAGTTTGAGACTGTAAAGGTAGATGTTAAAACACTTAAAACTTTCCACTCCAGTGGAAAGGCTAGAGAGCTAAGATTTGAAACTGGTGTCTGTTTCCTGTGTTGATACGGAAACATTGCTCATATCTGAAAACTCTGGAACTGAGATTCTGCAGGAGGTCTGGAAGTTACAATTCTTATGGCTGACACATTGATTCTGTTTTGGAACTAATCTGTGTGTTCTGTTTTAAAAGCTGACAATCTAGTTCTTTTGGTGCTTTGAAATTATGCAAAATAAAAAGATACAAAGATCAAGAATATAGATAAAGATAATTGCTGTGTAAGATGCATTTTTATTTAGTATTGTCTATGAATTAGTTGTTTAGGTTACATACCTGTTAGGTAGATGATGGCTTCCAAAAGAAGTGCTTCCACCAGGGCCCACAAATAATCTTAAACCTTCTTCTAAAAAGCAAGTGAATTAAAATGTGTTAGCTATATGTTGCCTTACCGAACACTAAGTAATTTTGAATCTACTAGTTCTGTAGCTGATGCTTTCAGATGCAAATATGTCAATTAATGAAGAACCAAACTTCACATGGTGTAGGTTGGAGGAACTACTTTTGTTGTAGATTTGCACCTGCTCTTTTTAGGCTTAAAGTAATTGCCTGGGAAAGCTCCCTGACTCATGTAAGGGTTGTTAGACTTCTGGGAGACAGAGTGAAGCAGAAAATGTAGTGATCCATGTGCACAGTCCTTATGATTACAAGCAACAGGAACTATGAAGAGAGTGGATTTTCCTGCGGCCTGTAATGTACATCAGTTTTTTCTAAGCTTCCTTATTTATCTCCATACCTTCTGCACTTGACTCTAAACTGAAGTCTTGACTCTGAAGTATTTTTTCAACTATATCATCAGCGTCAACTCTGGTAGCATCAACCCTCTTTAGCTGTGACTCCACAGAATCTTGCTTTACAGGATGTCTGCAAAAATAAATATATTTAGAGCTCTTAGAAGTAATTTGTGTTTTACTTCTGCTAGATAATGCCTTCACGTTAAGTGTACCTGCATTGTTTTTCTGATGGTGCATCTTCAGGAGATGTATCAATATTAGCTTCAGTTACTTTTGGCTCAGACTCTTCACATGGCTCTAGAATACTTCCAGTTCCCGTTGAGGTACTCCCCACTGAGGTGTTCCTCCTGTGGCAGAGTTCAGACAGACTGGATGATCTAGAGTGACATGTGCTATATCCTGTTGGAAAAATGCAGGAGATTTGGGTTAGGTATGTTCTTGACAGCCAAGGTCCATCCTGAAAGCAGAATTTGTGTTTTGTCTTCTTATCAAGAGACTTCAAAAGCCCTATGAATGTATGTGCATACATAAACTAGGGAATTCAGGTTTTGAATTCTAGCACATGCCATTTTCTTTTTGTTCTAAATAACTCTTACTTCATAAAAAATATCAAATATCATGGCAAATGTCATTCCCTTCAGCTTTTAGAGCTACGTCTCTATTTGCAAGTTGTTTTTACATATGGAAGACATGAAAATCTCATTCAGATATGTTAGTTGAAGGGAACGAGGGCAAAAAGCTTTCTGGCATCAGAAGAGATCGTTCATTGTGATTTTAAGAAGGGAAAAAGTGTTACCCTCAGCACATCTGAAGGTCCTAGGAAAAAGCTTTCAACTTCAAAATCTTTTTAAACATAAAGTATATTTATTGTCTACTGTCTAAACCTGTGAAAGTAAATAATTCCCCAACAACTTGTAACAAAATTATTAACAGCTACCTGACAGTTTTGATTGCTGACTTGCATAGCTTGATGTTCTGGAATGTCCACATGCACCAAGTTCATCTGGGACAGAGGCACTCTTTGATGAGATATCTGCAACATACCCAAGTCAGATAGTGTTCCTAAAGCCAGCTTTACTACTATTTTGCCTGTAATCTTGATTAGATTCAAAACTCAGATTTCCCAGAGGGATTAGAGATTTGACACTGGTTTTCTGCAAACCTTCTGGAGATTCAAGTGCTGCAAAAATACCATGTATGTTAATGAATATGCATTCCTTAAAAAAAAAAAATCATAATATGTATCTGAGTAAAACAGAGAACAACCAGAGTTAGAAAGATTTGTATGAAACGTAGTTCTAGATTTGTCTACAGTGTCAACATTAAAGAGGTGACCATGCTTTCTCTAGTATCATAGTAGAATGTTGTGCCAGATGTTTTCTGTCTAGAAAATTAACTGTGGTTAAGAGCTTCACCTGTGTTTGGAGTAGAAACTAATAAGCCATGTAAGAAGGTTCCTTTGTGGGCCAACTGTCAGCATCCCTTTAAGATTCGAAGTATTCTGTACATCTCCTTGAAGCTGTGAGGCCAGTTATTAAAACACTGAGAAATTAAGAGCATTATTATTTACCTGCTACACCCAGATGTGCTACTTTTAAGTTTTCTCCACCTTTCCTGTCTTCATGCAAAGATTCTGATTCTCCAGCAATTGCTATAGATGTTGCTGTGGAAGGAGGCCTGTAAGAAAAAGGTGGTTCAGATTTGCTGTACTTTTGTTGCAATCCCTCCAAATTGATTAACACATAGTTCTTCTTTCAAGTAAGTTGGCATAATTCATACTGAGCATCAAGTTAACAGACCTACAATTCTAGTCCCCTATTGAAGGAAAAAAAAAAAAAAGCTTTTTCTACTGAGCTTAAGGACATTTTACAGAATCCATCTGCTCAGCCCTCAGGCTTCTGGGGATCGTGGGAGGGGCTTTTCCTTTTTTCATGATTTGGGGGAGTGATATGTCTTTATTTTGAAGTTCTTATTTTTTTTTAAGTGTATGAATCACAGGATAGTTTACATGCTAAGAATATATGTAATTCAGTACTTCATGGAATGCATGACAAGATGATAAATTAAAAAAATCCCAAACGTGCACAATGTGACAGTTGGCCAAGTTGCCTGTGTGCTGTGATGTACTCCTGGCTTTGTTTCATCTGTCACAGTACAGGAGGAGATTCTGGGCTGGTAACCCTTCCACTCCTAACAAAGGGGCCTATGTATTCCCCTCTAAATTTTACCTCCTACAAAATAAAAAAAGCATCATGTATGACATTTATTTAAATTTTGGTTCAATATTAAAAAACTTTTAATAAAGCTTAAATGCTTGTTTAAGCTAATACCAAGATCCAAAGGGATATAAAACCTCTAAGTTTGTGTTTGGCTAGTGCAAAAGAAACTAATAGAAAATGACAAAGTGAAAGCAATCTTCTCTTGCAAGCAATACAATCAAAATATATTTCAAGATGTTGCCTACAGTTTTTTTAATGCTTTGTTATTTTCTACTTTGGGAACAGAATGTTGGTCTGCAAACAAATGGATATTTGTTGACATTTTTAGATCTGACATATTCAATAAATTAGTCACTGTCTTTATGTACAGTAACATATCCCCTCTTATGTTATGTTTGAAAGTAAAGAGAGAAAGAAAAAAAAGCACTACTGGAAATACAGTGCTTGTGTGATTTAACTGCCTAACATACTTCTGAAAGCAAGAGCTGAATGCTTTCAGGGATGCCATCCCAGATCAAACATCAAGCCTTCTAGGCTTCTTCATAAAATATGTATCTGATTCCAGATTGTGAAACTGTTTTGAGGCTTATTTTGCCTTCTACAAAGGACATCTGGATTAGATAAATTTTTTGTTCTGTTGTGTTGAAAGTTTATGTTCCAGGAAATGGTTATATCACCAGTTTGGCAGAAAATGCCAAGTCTGAATAACTGGAGTTAGAGGTTTTTTCCTAGGGAACCAGAAAGCTATTTAAGTACTAATTTCAACTCCTTCAGTACTAGCCGGTAAAAAAACAGAAACACATCATTTTATTAGTATACAAGAGTAATGATTTGTTGCATTTGAGAAATTGCTTATTGGTTCCAGTGATGTATTTGTTAACAGGTCTGACTCTAAAGTAAATTTACTAAAGCTGCTCTAAAGTAAAAGAGGTGCTAAATAACTAAGGATACAGAAAAGTTTTGCCCAATCAAACAAATTCAGATAACACCCTCTTGGTATTTATTCAGTAAGCACAAGATGAGACTCTGCAGTGTTCTCTTAGTGCAAGGGGACACTGAAGAGTTCCTATGGTGAATCACCTAAGTTAGACTGGTGCAAAACCATTGCAAAACTATTATGTTTCCCTAACTACAGATTAAGGACAATGAGACTGAGTATCTTCAATATGTAGCAGTGTATTTTCCTAGCTACCTCCCCCCTCAGATGTTACCTCCTGCAATTTTATTAGGTTGCATATGTCTTTGCTAACTAAACATCTGTAAGTGCTTTCTCTTGTATTAAGTCATATCACACTTCTGTTGTGTTTTTTTTTCCCAAAAGAATCTTTTAAAATCTTAAGAGACTTGTGAATAAAAGGTGTAACAGCGCGTTTTCCAAACACAAGTATTAGTCAGATCACCCTGTATCAAGTCCCTTTATATAAAGTTGCTGCAGGAACAGTTTTCCTTAAGTTTTTTTTCTTTAGACTTTTAACAAACTTACGTTTTAAAGCATGGGTCTCCAGCCATTAGCTGCATGTTGATCAAAACCTACATGTTAAGGAAACAAAACCCACTGTAAGAAAAAAAAATTGATCGGTGACACATACATGGTCATGTCACTAAGTTACACTTGCCACAAATATTAAATTTAAGTAAAGTACAATGCCATCATCACACATGCAAACTGTCACACTTAACCAAAAAGTTACATTTTTTTCCTTAGTAGGCATGCAAACAACACAAAATAGCATTTAAAGTAACATAGTTACGTGTACAAGATTCTGAAAATGACACATAGATCAAGGAGAATCTTAAAATCATTAATAGTTAAGATGGCTTCAAGGGAAAAACAGAGACAAGAAATCTAAAACATTAATGAGCAACCAGAATATTGTTTAGAACAGTGGGTGTTGAAGTATGTTCTTTGCTGAGGGTGTTTAGCAAACTGCTGCTTTACAGGAATGGGTTGTGCTGACATCAGACCCAGCAAAACCACCCCAGGTAAATAAGCCATAGGACACAGTGCATTGAGAAGGCTTCTGAGCCAGGTCAAAGCCATCAATTACAAGTGTTCTGGACACAGCCTGTGACCATCAAAGAAATCAGAAAGTGCATGCATACTGAATAATATGGGAAACTCAGCCTAGTGTCTCAGTAGGAAAATTAATTTTTTTTAAAATTACTTGAAACATTGTCTAAGGAATTATTTTCATGTTTATGGAGCTTACTCAATTTTTTTAACTCCATGGAATAATGGAAGAGGATGGCAGAGGAGGTTTCTTGCAACAATCCTCACCAACTGTTACATCAATTACTATTAAATAGAAAACAGAAAAGCCCCAGGAGTCATGGAGGTGTTGAAGCTGCCGTATGCATAAATAAGCCAATTAACAGATTCACTCTCAGAAAGATGCACAGGAAGTTGCCCAGTCTTAAAGATATAATGTATTAACTTGTTCATTTTTCAGCTACCATTAGAATACCTTTTGAAAGCTTTTCTTTTACAGCTATCCAGCTCCATTTCAAAGAGTAGGACAAGTTGTATTTTTGACTGCATGGATTTTAAAGATTGTCTCTAAACAACGCTTTTGTTTTTACTTTAAATAGCTCTCCTTCTAGAAAGAGGTTCAGCAAATAAGTTTTAAATTTCATTAAGTGCTCAGTAGTACCACTTGTTCTCTGCTTTATTACTTTAAGTATGATAAAAGAAACAAATTACTTTGAGAATGGAGTTGTCTTGTCTTGTATTTTTGGTATCATAACCTTCCAGTAAACAGCGACGAGTGGTATTTCCCGATCCAGCAAACTCTGCTAGATTTAGATCTGCAAATCCCAGCTGTTAAGAGAAAATGACAAAGTTATCGGTAAGCATATGACTAAATGAAGGTACTTGCAGCATCCAACACTGAATAACACTCAACAGCAGTTTCTCTGCTGCCAAGCAGAGAGGATGCCAATTAAAGGGAGTGGCCCCAGGCAAAAAGCAGAAAACTAACTTTGACTGTCAAATTCAGCATAGTTCTGTTTTCAGTTAAAAAGTTAAAGTACCCAAAGAGAAGGATAATGAGGAGAGTTTTCTTTATTTTTTAATGTAAACTCCTGCTATTTTTAATTCTTTCCACATATCAAATTGAAAGAAAAAAAATGGTGGTATAATATTGTTATATACTTTCTAAGTGCACTGATAGAGAGTTCCAACAGCACTGTGTCACTATAATGCACATAATGAAATCATAGGTATTCGAGTACTATTCTGGAATTACTTTAAAAGGGCATAAAAGGACAAGAAAGAAAAGCTTATCTGTAGGCAAAATTACCTACGTCTCAATTTACCTTTGCATATGCCTTTCCTCCTTTTAATTCCTAGGAAAAAAAAAAAAGGAAAAAAGACACACCATTAAGCCATTAAAGATACTGACTCATGATTTTCCTTTGTTTTGTTTGGTTGGTTTTTTTAGAAAAGCAGATACTAATCTTTGTTTTAAAATACCTCACCACACATGCTAGACTGTGTTGTTGTCATTTAGAACTTAGTATTCATAATGCCTTTGGTGCATGCCAGCAGGAGACTGTCATCCTGGAGAGGGGGAATAGTGATTGCCTGATGCCATTTGGCTTTTCAAAGGTCTGGCCCCAAAGGTAGGACGTGCTGTGTACAAAATTCTGGTAGTTAGCATAGTTCGAGGCCTCTAAGCTTATTGCTGCTTGATGGAAGTATCAATCTTTATAAAGTTTGATAACTTTATAAACACTGATGAGGGATTCCTTTGATGCCCTGCTGGAAAAAAAGTGTTCTTTTCAAAAAGAACATAAAACCCCCATGAATTAGTCAAAGTAAGGTAATTCATAACATTACCACGAAATTTTGACAAAAGGAATACCTGACATGGTTGCAGCTAAAATTTACCCTGTGAAGTTTATCAGACATTCCAAAATTAAAACAAGTGAAGAAGGAGCAAGGAAAGAGGAGAGGAGGGGAAAAGAGCTACTTACCTTCCGTACAGACACCCTGCACGTGCAAGTATCCAGAATCCCTGTTGTGGCACTGGCACTGATTTTACACATAAATAAGAACTTTTTCTTCCAGCGGACACAGTTTGCTTGCACCACCTCCCTGCAAATAGAGAGCATACACTTAGTAGTAGTGTCATATACATTCAGAACCATTAACTGCAGTAAGACAGCTCAAGAACAAACACTGTTTCCACTGTTTGTAGAATCATCACTTCATGCAAATTGTGTTCCAAAGCCTGAATAATAATAATCCTCCATTCTTCTCTTTGACTAGTAGCTGCTTCAAACCTTGAACACAATATAAGACCTCCAGAAAAATTAAACAGCCATGTGTTTTTGCAGAAGAATGAGACCATAATTTCTCCAGTTTGCCTTGGGAGACTGAAGTTTTCCTGAACATTAGCTCTCAGGCACTGTCTTCCAAGTCACTGAGCTTTGCTCTGTGCTCAAGATAGCGTCTTTGACAAGTAGTTTTTTAATACAGAGAAAGGGAGCATCATACAAGCAGAACTAGTTACATTTGAGACTTGGAAAAGCAGAAAGGACATGATGTGGAATAAACAGACACAACGTAATGAACTTGGGGCAAACCAGAATTTCAGCTATATACGCAGATTGCCATTTGAGAGCAAGATGACATATCTGAATGGATTTGTTCCTCACAGGAGGATAGCAGTCTGCCAGTATGATGCAGCTGAGAAAAAGGCAAAAATGTAGAATGCTTTCAGCTATATTAATGTCATTTTGTAAGGTTCAGATAGAACACGTTATTCTGTTGGGCCAACAAAGCAAGAATAGACTCCAAAATGAACAGGTACAGGAAAACTCTAGTATCTTAAAAGAAAAAATTGCATATAATAAAAATATACTGGTGTTTCAAACACTTGAGAGACCAAATAACTTTAAGTCAAATGAAAAGTGGTTAGGACCAAAATAAAGTATAACCAAACACCCACTTAAAACTGAAAGTTAAAAGGTCTCAAATCACAGAGCAAGTTTCAGCCTTCAAATAAGAGAAGAAGCAGCAAAAAAACCTTATTGTATTTTACAGCAAGGTTGGCCAGTTTGTCAATAACGGCATGTAAGGACTGTGATTCTGAGGGACCTGCCTCAGTGATCAACAGCTCCTTTCTAGCCCGATCTTTCTAAACTCAAAACTTGGAGAAGAAACTGAGATAATTTCTTCTACCACTCTAATCACTGAAGTACAGTCTTAACATATTAAAGTGATATTTATCCTTTTTCTCTTCAGTTTTTCTAATGCATACATTGCTATGTTTTATATTAACTTCTTGCAGTAGCTTATTATTGAAGATCCAGCTTGATGTCTTTAACAGATCAAATTCTATGGTTTTGCATAAGTTGAAGTCAGAGTTCATCAAACCTATGGAAAAGCAAAGAATTGCAGGGCACTCACAAAAGCTCCCTGTGCTCTGCTGCTGAGACAGCCAGCACAGTGCTCACTGGCACTGTGACCTCCTAAGGTAGGAATAAACTAGCCTGCCTAAAATGAGTCAGTTTAACGACCACAACAGACTAACAGATTCTGATGATGCGACACTGAGTCACATTCAAGCATGTGACCTAAAAGGAACATACTCCCTACACCCACTACCATTTATCTGGTATGTTTTACATCGCAAACTTTTCTGTACTTTCCTTGTACAATCCAAAACAAAACCGAACCAACTGCCCCCACTCCCACTGAACATTCTTCTAATTCCATTTTATAACAGAACATTTTGACATATTTTAATTAAAGTAAATTTTTACTAAAGAAGAGTATCAGCTACCTATTCCCATCATGCTGGAAGAAAAAAAGAAAAAAAAGGTCAAATAATCAGAGCATTTAACTTAAACAATAACATCTAACTTTATAAGATTCTTAGTTGAAGTGCAAGGCCTTTAGAAAATAAACAGCTGTATTGATTGGTTACTATGGAAACGAACTCAGATAACTTCTTGGCAGCTGTGCTACAGACACACTGGGAAAGCTTTGCTGGGGAAAGCTTTCCGCTCTGAGTCAGCTTCCTATGAGCCTCCAGTCACTTTACCACATGCAAAGCAAAACCAGTTGTTTTCTTAATCAAAAACGTATCTTAGCTACTAAGATTCATTCAGAAACGTACTGGATTGTAGTGCTTTGGTGTGATTTAATGAATGCTGTCAGTAATAAGTAACAAAGAATAAATTCAATTAACAGATATTGTAAGAAAAAGTGATTCCAAAGCATAGTTTATCATCAGTTTAACAAATTATTTTTTCTTTAGAGGGACAGTTCCACATTGACTAAATTTCAAATGCTGTAAACAAGGAGAAAATATGTCATGTTGATAAGATGGCCTGAGAGAAGTGTGGCTGCTGCAGCTCCGCTCTCCAGATCCCACCAGCAGCAAGGCTGAAGATGTATTCCTGGTAAGCACCCACAGCCAGCACACACACACAGGTCACACGCACACAAGGCACTCGCAGGCAGCCAGCCCACTCTCCTCCCCAGCTGAGCACTACAGAGCTCTGCCAGAGATACATATATCATATATATCTGTGGAGATATATAGATATAGATATATAGAGATATATATGGCTCCCAGGCTACAGCACCTGCTCCACAGCTAGTCCAGCTTGATCCCTGATGGCATTTGCATACTCACACACCTGCATTTACTCCACAGGCACACAGGTCTCTGACTCCTAGTCCCACCCCTGTGGGTTGCATTGGCTTTAACTCATCTCTGCTTTCCAGTTCCTGGCCCTTAAGTGCTCTGTCCCATGATCCCAGGCCAGCTACTGGCACAGAGGACACACAGGTCTTGTGACCCACAGTCCCACTCCCATGGCTGGTACTTAAGTCTGCTCACTCAGGTCTCCTTTTGCTGGCACCACAGACACCCAGGCCCTGTGTCACCAAACCGTGACTCCAGTTGCTGGTACTCAGACTCCCACGCTCCTATACACATTGAACAGAGAGCCCTTCCCCCAAGAAAGAGTTAGAATGTAGTTCAGTATGAAAATACAATAGACATTACTGATTAGAAACAGATTAGGCAAATGTACCAACCAGCAAACTATTTACATCTAACTGGCCCTTTTATCCCCTTAACTCCCTGTTTTTCCCACACTTGTTCCTCATCAAATCACTTAAACTCATCCCTTCTTCCACTTTTAGTTCCTCCCCCAAATGTCCCATAATAAGCCTCTTCCCCTGTATCCCATGATGTGTCTCATATGCAGCAACTCCCCTCAGTCCAAAAATTGCTTCAGTGTTAGTTTGACATGATGGGTTTCCTGCCTGGACAATGGGGCTGAGGTTCTCCTGAGACAGCCCTAGGAGGGGCCTGGACAGGGTGTCCTTTTGTCTAAGCCCATAACTTCAGTTCCCCACCTGCCTCTGTGTCCCTGGGCTTGTGTAGATGGACTTTTGATGGGCTGATGGCTCCTATGACAGGACTGGGAATTCTGTGTTTCTTCTATTCAGGAAGAAATACAGTTTACTTTTCCTTTAATACTCTGTGTTTCCCCCATGCCTGGGCATATAAGAACATGGATTTTCTCCAACAAAAACCCATTTTTCCTAAGCATTGCTAAAAACTTGAACAAAACCAGTCATTTACAAACAGAGCTTCAATGTTTCACAAATTTCAGCAGTAAGCAAACAGCTGCTCTGCAGGAAGAGCTCCACTTGTTTACAGCTCCCCAGTTAATTTGCTGTTAGTACATGCAAAACTCAAACAGAGCAATCATTTTCTATGCCACATGTTTTTACTCATAATAAACAAGTTACAACTTTAGCAACACTTCATTTCAAGAATTCCTTATAAAATATATATAAAGTCTTCATCACATGGATGAAAAACTGCTGGTTACAGGCAAATGAAGAGACATAGAAGGGAATTAGAAGTGTGAAGGGCAAACTGCATTAGAAAAACTGTAGTCAGCAAGTCAAAGGAAGTGATTGTTCCCCTCTGTTGAACACTTGTGAGACTGTATCTGCAGCACCCGGCCTGGTTTAGGGGCATTCTCAGCAGAAGACAGACACTAAAAAACTGAAGCAGGTCCAGGGGTGTAAGATGGTAGTCTGGAGTCAGGGATGAGGGGGATGAAGGACCTGATGCAGGAGAATTTGGGACCATGGGATTTTTACAGTCTGAAGATGAGGTGAAAGAAGATCTAATTGCCATCTTCAGCCTTCTCTGCTGAGTTAGAGAGAAGATGGAGTCAGATGTTTCTTAGTGGGGAGCAGAGAAAAGAGAAATTCCAAAAACCAGAGAAATTCCAATAAAATGAGGGGAAAACCATTCACAATAAAAGTGGTGGAGCAGAAGGACAGGTTGCCTACAAAAACTGTAATTTCCATTCTTACAGATTTTCTAAAGCTGACAGGACAAAGCTCTGAGCTTCCTGATCGAACTGAAGTTAGTCTTACTTTGATCAGGCAGTTGGACTACATGATCTCTAGCAGTCCCCTTTGCCCGAGATTATTCCATGAACAGAAACAGTCCTTAAAATATGAAGGCAATCAGGCTCTCTAGTGCTTGTAAATGGCAATACTGTGCTCCATGTACTGTGCTGGGGTCAGGTTTAACAAACAAACCAACAAACCCTCACCAGCTCTTTTAAACCAGGGTGCCTATTCTGCACAAGCCAGGCACCTTAACCATGAAAGCTTTTCCCACCACTCCTCCCTGTTTAACAGATGCCTGTCGTGCATCTCTTATCAGGAACTTGTTTGTGACAAGTTAGCTGTTGTTGTATCTCTTACCAGTACTTACAATTACAGTAACACAAGTCTCACAAGATTAAGCTCTTTTCATATCTGCAATAACCAGTTATGCCCCATGCAAAATGCAAACTGTAAAAACATTTTTCCTCCTACAGTAGCCCAAAGATGACCCTCTTCTGACCTAATTTTAAACTTTTCACTCCTTTGATTAATTCTTTCATCCTTCTCAAGCATATTCTCCAAATCAGTTGACTAAACACATTTTATGGTAACTATTACTGAAAGGCTGAAGAGGTACAAAGAAATTACATCCTGGAAAAAAAAAAGTTATAGTTTGTGTAGAGAACTTCCCCTTCTTACCTTTTCCTCTTCACAGAGGACAAGGTCTGGAAGCTGTTTAATCAAGTGTCTCTTAACAACTGAAAAAAACATTAAGTGGACATTCGACAATCTGAAAAGAGCACCTACAGAATTGCAAGACAGGATTTTTATCCCACTGCCAATATTCCTTACAGTGCTTTATAACTTATTTTGTTTCAGGTTATCCAACTGCAAATCCAGTTACAGCTGAAAAAGCTATCAGAAGGAGCATTATCCAGCTCTGAAGACTGTCAGCAGAATTTATACATCAGGCAGGAAGATCAGAGTGATAAGGGTAGTGATTCCACATGACAGGTATGTTTTTCTAACAAGTGTTATTATTTAAAAACAGAGAGCCGGTTAACCTATGTTACTATCAGGAGATAATTTTCCTTTCAAATGCAATAGCAGCAGTTGGGAAAAGAATGGTTAAAAGGCAATTTGAAGAGCCCAGTGAGGCAGAAAATGTACTTCCTACAAAAAATAGATGTAGTTTTAGACAGTTGAGAAGAAGGTGGCCAAGCATCACTAGAAATAAGAAGTACTTATTATCTGGAAGATAAGAAATCAGTTTCTGCAGAAGACAATTATATGCTCTAGCCTGTATCTATGAGGAATAAGAATATATTAATGGAAGTAATGGAAGATCTGAGACTTCCTCTCAGGACTCAAGAATGTGCTGTACATAAAAAAAGACCCCACATCCCTGGAATCTGTTGCAAAATAAAATGTTTTCATGAAAAACTTATAGTTCTTGGCCACCCTGAATCTGTCTGTCACAGATACCAATCATAATCAGCTTCTTAGTTTAGAATGTTGCTGTGTAAAAGAATGAAGAGAGAAACATCAGCAGTCTAAATTGTCAGAAATCAGACCTGAAAGGCAGGGGAATACGACCAAATTGAAGACTGCAGTCAGAAGAACACACCAACCAACAAGTCTTTCCTTGAGTGAGGTGCAGCTGGAAACCAAGCTAAAAATGGAACTACCAGGCTTACAGCTCCTGTAACCTAAATCTATACAGCACAGTGTTGAAAGTAACCCTCAAGAAATAAGATCCTTTACTTTCCAAAATTTCTTTGATTTCTGCATATCCCATCTGTTCATTTGCTGCTGATTGAGCAACAGCTCAGCCTATGAGCAGTTACCTACTCTAGAGGCCCATCAATTATTTCTTCAGCCCGTTAAAATGAGGGCAGTTGCAGAAAGCCTACTTGTTTTATATTTATGTCTACAGTAAAATGGCCATGAATAAATATGTTTAGTATTTGGTCTATTTTAAAGTACCTTAAAATAGTATTTTTTCCTGTTCAAAATATTCATGGGTGTAATTTTCTTCCCTGAAATAATCTCCCATCCTTTCATGGTGCATTAGACATTATGTACATGATATTTTATGACCAGGCAGTGTATAGACACACAGAATCATGGAATCTGCACAAGTGTCTGGCATTAATGTATCCAATTTCAAAGAGAGATCTCGTGTCATTGGCCCTGGGAAAGACAGAAATTTAGAAAGATGTCTCATTATACAGGAAACCAGGCTTAAGCTAGGAAAGTTTGCTAAATGAAAATGTTAGCATAACTTTGCAATCTATTTGCTGAAAACCCACCTTTGTTTATAAAATCTAAAAATACAGTGGTAAAGATCCAGAAGTCAGGTTGGAAAGCAATTTCAAAAAGGGGAGGGCAGGAATTGCTAAAACAACCAAACCAAACCTTCCCACTCCCACAGCTCCCTTCAAGATTTTCCCTGTTTTAGAGTCAAAGCTTATAACCCGTTCATTCTCCCCAGAATTCTGGGGTCCTGCTCTTGCTGAAACTCTCAAAAATTTCTTCTAGTTTAAACACTGCTGCTACTTGGCTGTTCAATGTCCTTGGATCAAAATTGTATTTGGCACTACCAGATTACTTTAAAAGTTGAATATTTTGTCAGTTGAATATTTTGAATATTATAATGCTAAATTAAGCATTTAGTATTATAATACAGAATTTTCTTTTCCTACAGAAAATACTCACAAATATGCATAGGGATGTTTCAAATAAAAGTTTTCAAATCGGAGTTCTAAAAAACTACATGCAAACACCAAAACACAAAGTGATGTGGTTGCTATTTATATACAAACCAGATCACTATGTACTGCACTATACAAGCTGGTTTTACCTGGTCACAGAATTTCTATACACTTCAGGCACACATCTGTATCAGCCAGAAAAGTAACTGGACTGTGACAACAAGTCTCCAATAACACAGACCATGTCTCCATAACATGGAGGTAGCTCCTTCTCAGCAAAGATCTGACAAGTGAAAAAACCCCTATGTTTCAGTTTCTTGAATTTTTTCTGTCTTCTTTTCATCTCACTTCAGCGATGAGAGGGATGATGTAGGTATCACATTGCTTGCAGGATCAGGGCTTTAATCATTCATACACCACGATCAGCGCAGGACTGACAAGACAATCGCTTCGATCCATTTTCATTACAAGTTGCTACATATGGGCCTTTATTCCAAGGCAACTGACCTGTGTTTTTATGACATTTCTTTCTCAGTGAGCAAGCTTTGGAAGCAAAATGCTAGTAATATCAAGGTGGTTTATAGACTATAATTATGACCTTTTTTTGCCCTCCTTTTTTTTTAAGGCAAGAAGCAGCAAGGTATTGGTGTGTATGGATACCAAATTGAGAACTTAGTAGCTAGAGTACTAGACCTCAGTAACAAAAATAAAAGCTATGAAGAAAACAGTTTTCCTCTGTATTATAAAATTTTTGAAATGAGTTTGTAGATTACTTTCTGAAACAACGGAATTCTTCAAACTTCTTTTATAAGGCTAAAAACATTACTACTTTAGGAATATAACTGCCAGCTCACAGTGAGACTAATAAAAGCATGGCCACTACAAAAAGTTTGCAACTGACAAGTTTTGAAATCCTGCCTCTCTGATGTTAACTTAATTTCTTCCTTATTTATTCAGCCCTTTGCTGAATCACCACTGTGAAAATTCATATGTTAATTCTTAAGCCAAGAGCAAAGGCACTCCCTACATTGGCGCTGAAGGATCACTGCACAAGAATTCTTTACCTTCCTACCAGCATACCTCAACACTTCTCAGCCCAGCAGGAATGAGTTAAACTTACAGGGACCTTGTTATACCAGCATACATTCCATTGCTGTTATTTTTTAAGCCATACCCTCAGAAAAAGAAAATGGAAGAATTTCTAAACTTTGACTCTAATACAATACATCCAATACATACAATTTTTTACATCATCACAGTTCCACTGACACTTCCTACTATACATACTACCTCCTAACACACATATTTTACTCGAATAGACTATTCAGAAAGATATGCGTGTAGGCTTTCAAGCTTTTAATTTTAACATCATAAACAGGCAAGTCTAAAAAGACTAAGATCACAATAATGTATCAAAACCATCTGCTTAGTGGAAACCAACTCCTTGAAAATAGAGATCCTGTCCAGAAGATTTATGTCAGCCTGTGAAAATGACTTCAAGACAGTATGGGCTGGAGTAGGACAACAATAGCACATCAGTGCCTGAAATCATGACTGCCATCATCATCTATTACTCATGAAGAAGTCACTCACAAGAAAAATGTTGAGGAAAGGAGACGAAGTGAGAACAGAACGCTGTTCAGTTGAACACCCTCCAACCACACAGAAGAAAAATTAATCTTCAATTATACATGCTAGTATAATGGAATGGTTAAATAAGGAAGTTCTAGGCCAAGGTTCCGTTTTGATGCTTCATTCTCTTTGATTAATTTTATTTACAGAATAAAAGGCAGATAATTTAGAAAGCTCTGTAACAGCAGTATTTTAATAAGAAAATAACTGAATATTCACTGACTTGTTACTGTCTGCTCCCAGAATTCTATGAGACATGTTCCAGTAAATCCTATTCATAATAATGTTAAAGTAATATAATAACCCATACAACATGAACAAGAGTAATGGGAGGGGAGTCTCCTCCTCCCCAGACCTGAAGCCACAGCACACCCTTCCTATTGACAAGGTTCTGCCTCTGCCTGGTACCTGGAAAAAATTAACACACTGTCATTCTATTTACCCATCGCTACCCATGGACGGGGAACACTGACACGGTCGACGATGGCTCTATTGCTGAGACACAACAGGAGGAAAAGAAAGAGAAAAAAGACATTTGCCTTGCTGCATTTGCACTGCAGAACTGAGCATGAACCAAGTCAATAAGACACATGGTCTGAACACTTCCAGGAATAATTGAGGACTTTTTCATGGAACTTCGCTCTCCAGGTAAATATCCACAGAACGAAACACAGCAAGCCACTGTCCAACAGAATGAACCACTAAGTTTGCCCAACTCACAGTCACAGTGGGCAGCTCAGACTACAGACTTGGGAATAAGAAATTTCTTCCCCTCCCTTACCCATCTGATCAGCAGGCGTTACAGCTCCAGGCATTATGGCACAAGCGACCTGTTTCTTTGGGACAACCCTCATCCCTGAGGGATTCATGTCCCCTGTTACTCCGTGTTTAAGAGCCTCAGTGTTTATTTTACAACGTTACTACTTCAGGCAGCGAGCGGCCACGCAGACAGAGGAGCCTAGAAATGCTCCCACATCTGTTCTCCCGCCGTTGGTGCTGGCAAAGCAGGCGGGACGAGAGGACAGGCAGTCTGCCCAGTGTCACGCCGTGCCACAGGAGCTTCCCGATCGCCGAGAGGAAAGGCGAGCAGCCTCCAAAAGCCCCGGGGCAGCCGCCCCCTCCTTTCCCTGGGCTCCCGCCCGCCGGGCTGAGCCCCGGGCTCGCCCCGAGCCGAGCTGCGGCCAAGGGGCTGCGGAGGCAGCCGGACCGCCCCGGCTCTCGGGGGGACGGGGACTGGAGCGGAGCCCGTGGGACAGGGGCGGCCCGCGCGGGGCAGGGACCCCGCAGCCCCCCGGCTTGCGAGCCCCGGAGGCACCTACCGGGAGGATTCCCCGCTGAAGCTGCCCCCGTCCAGCAGCCGCACCTTGCAGAAGAGGATGCCGTTGACGAAGGGCACGGAGGAAAGCTCGTCCAGCTCCAGCTCCACGCGGAACTTGAACTTCTTCTTTTTCATCATGATGAAGGCCATGGGCCAGAGGCCGCCCGCGGGCCGCCCCCACGGCAGCTCCGCTCCGCGCCGGCCGCCCCGCTCCGCTACCATGCCCGGGGCGAGGGCGGCACCCGGGCCGGGCCGGAGCTCCGGCCGTTCCCAGCTCAGCTCCGCCGGCCGCGGCGCTCCCGGACAGCGCTTACATGGCAGCCGGCGCCTCCCTTTCAAACCCGCCCGCCTCCGCTCCGCCCGCCGCCGCCAGCGCCCGCCGGACCCATTGGCGAGCGCGGCCGCCAAAGGCTCGAACGCGGGCGTGTGGTTTCCCGAAGAAGCTGGCCCGGCCCAGGGAAAGGCTTTTAATAGCGGAGGTGTCCGGATCAGTGACGTGGCCGTGGCCCCAACGCCCGGCGAGCGGGGCTGCTCCCGCCCTCCTCGGCAGCTCTCCTGCCTCCGGAGACCCCGCTGGGGTGGTGGGCGCGTCCCGCCGGCGGAAACCTCCTGTGCCGCTCATTTCAGAGCACTAACAAAACAAAGCATCATGTAGACCTTGGACTTTCAACTCTGAATTTAGGTACCTTCTACTGCAGTTCAAACCTTCTCGGGATCTTGTACAGCCGTTCAACATGTAATTTACAAATAACGCCGCTTCTGACACGAGCAACAAATGCTCATAGTCCTGTAGAAAAGGAGGGTGTTTACATTTAAGAACAGTTGTCTGGCATAGGCGATTACAGCAGTACACATGGGACGCTCTTGTTTAATGTACAGTCAACACCAGCATACACTCTCTAGAGAACAGCTTTGTCTCAAAAACCCATTCCAGAGGATTTAAGCATAAAGCAAGCTCCGAACACCCTCCATCAGCAGATCAGTTTCCTCTTTACAGTGTTGCGTAAGAAAACTAAGGCACAACGGCCTTCCCGCAAGTAAGCATTTGTTCACATCATAAGAAAAAGAATCTGTGAGATTATGCACGGAGTATGATGCTGAGCCCCTGAAATCTTGCAGCTGGTGAAAGCAGGCTGCCTGTCATTCAGTATAAATACATAGATATATATTTTATCCCTGATGAATAGAGGTATCACAAACGATGTGTGGCTAAGTATACCAAAATGTCCACAACTGTCCTGTAGAAAAATGCTGGGGGATAAAAAGGTGTCTGGAAAGAAATGCTCTTGGGCTTTTTGTCCTACAACATGCAGAAAAAGAATTTATATACAGTTTTCTAGTAAGAAGAGCTACATGGGTAGTTCTGACTCCATTGTCAGTTTCACATTCCTAATGAAGAATTCCCTACAAAACTCCTAAAGTCAAGTAATAACTCTGAAAGAAGTCTTTTAATTAGAGTAGAATTAATAAGAAGACATCTTAGAGAGGAGATCTAGGCATTTGGCCTTGACCTAGGACTTCCCCCTTGAGAACATTTCTTTAGTCTGCCCTAAAGTAATCCTGAAAAATCTTTTCTCCTTAACAGACCATAAGAGCCTACAATATATCATACAAGGCAACTCCCTGAGTACTGCACTCATCAGCTCTCTGTTCAAGGAGATGGAAAGTGAAAAGCTTTCAGCACCTAAAGGGACTAAGTATTTAGCTGATATCAAATCATACTAAGATCCTTCTTTTTTTAAAGGCTAAAGAACAACTCCAGAGTTTTGTTAAAAACACAGGGTTCTGGCTGAGAAAAGCAATTACCCTATTTAACTAGAAGGTCCAGCATGTTAAAATGTAGGAAGAAAAATAGGGTTACAGGCCAGACAAATTATCTGTTGAAGTTCAATACAGTTCATCCAGTTATTGAACAATCCCTTAAAGAAAATCTGAATTAATTCACTCCCAGTCAGAGAAGAAATAAATCAGCAACCTTCATAAATTATTATAGCCTACATGCTCTGAATAGCATCCCCTGCAAGCGTCTCCTCTATATAACTGAATGCCTCAGGAAGCTGTTAATGTGCTGACCTGCAAAAACCTTAACAAGCCTCACCTGAGTCCTCATCCACACCCTGCTCAAGGGACCCATTTAAGCTCAGCTCTGAGCCATGAGTCCTTATTTAAACCTTTATCTGTCTGCTGGGTGGTGGTTGTGTTGTCTGTACCTCGTTGTGGACCCTGACCTGCCTGCTGGCTTCCTAACTCATCTCAGAACTGTCTCTTTTTATCGTAGGTGTGCCTGAATGTGGTTGCTGTTGCTAGACTGGACCCTGAGGTGTGTTCCCAGCCTCAGGCCTGCCTTACTGCAGTAGATGCCTCCTCTCCCTGCTTAGAGGACCAGGGGGTGGGCTCTGGTTGGGGAGGCCCTGCCTTGCTGTCTGGGTTCTTGCACTCATCCTCCCGCTCTTGAGGAGAGAACTGGCCCTTGCTGTGCCCTGCCAGCCTGTGGTGCTGACTGCTAAAATAAAGGCAAGGGTAGGTGCCAAATGGTTTTAGGAGTTCTGAGTCAAAGGCAATCCTTATCTGAAAAAGCCTAATTCTATTCTGGGGCTATATTTACATTCTGAACTGGTGTCTAGAAAAAACCTTTGTATTGAGTATAGCCTTACTGTCCAAAAGAGTCAAAGTCAAAAGTGTCAGAGTATAGATTTTTAAATATATTTAGAGTATTTAATCAAAAGGTTCTCAGAATAGCAGAGGAGTTTTTCAAAAAAGGATGAACACTGTGGGTAATGTACTAATTCTGAGTTGTCATTGATAAAAAGCTTCTGTCAGATTAAAGCACTGGAGTTCTATTTTAGGAGAAATTCCTAAATCTTTAAGGAAGTTGGATATTATAGGTATAAAACTCAGTGATTCAAGAAAAATCAGTGGTTTACAAAATGCCACAGTTACTCCAGAATTAAAAAAAAAAAATTCAAAAGCTGTTTGCTCTCCTGAAGAACATAAGATTTCAGTTACAAAACTGTAGGGTTAAATAGGGAATAGCCTTTGTGAACAGGTGAAGCTCAGCTCTCTGGGATTTTTAAATCCTGCAGAGCATCAATGTCTCTGTCATTGCTGGAGGTGGTACTAATGCCATCTTGTGTTCATCCCCTTGGCCTGTATGTTTTCTGCAGCACCATTTTTCTGCTGGTGACTGTATTTCTGACCTGTAGCTCTTTTTCCCAAGAGTAGTGGCATCAGGAAAGCACTGAAATGCTTTCTAGGTTTGATTTTAGATGGATCACTGCTCTGGCTCTGACATAAGGTCTGGGCTACAACCTGTACTCAGATCAGTGCTTTCAGCAGCAGTCCATTGTAAGCACTCTGTCTTGGCCATGGAAGAGATTAATTTGGATGTCTGAAGTGAAATTAAACCAAAAAGTGACATCCATTGGAACTAAATGCAATGTGTGTAGGTAAAGTCTATAATCATGACGCTTCTCTTGCTGCTCTAAGAAATGTGTGATGAAGTCTCAGTCCTCCAAGTGTGTTTGTACATGTTTACTACAGACCCACAGAGCAGTCTCTCCAATTAGCCTCTGAAGGATTGCTGCCTTAAGGTGGCCTGGCTATTTAAAGCTGTGCTGTAAACAAAGCTCAGGTAACAGCCCCAATCGTGAGAGGTCTCTGCTCTCCAAAATGGTGATGCGTCACAGAAAAAGTCAGAACCCAGCTGAACCTCCACTGATGGTTTTAAATCATGATTTCTTAATTGGTAAATTATATTTAGGTTAATTACAGAACCAATCTTTGAGTTAAGACATAATTTTTTCATGCTAAACCAGTCCAATGCTGTGTGCTAGATAATGGAAAAATATGAAAATAATAAAATAATCTGAATTTGCTATAGCTTGTTACTCTGCGATAGTAAGATTCCAAAATATGCTTTTTTTGAAGAATTATTTTATAATAGTAGTTTAAAACTGAGCTAATTATATCTGTATAATGAAGCAAGTATTCATTTCACCCTAAACAAATTTAAAACACTGAACTTTGTCTTTACCTTCTAAATATTTATTGCCTCTGTGTTTTTTAATTATATCTCCCATGTGTGACCTGAAGGCTGCTCTATCAGGTGACATAAAACTTCTGGATGACCATTTTTTTAACTATGTAGCAGAACTGGATTTGATCTCATCATTTAAAAATTACTTCCCTGCAGTCCTTGGAGATAAGCCAGAAATTACTTCTGGCTCATGCAGTATAAGATTTTAAAAATTTTAAGATTATTATGAAGAGTTTCCTTACAGAAAAAGAGCTACAGTATATAGAGCAGACACCAAATGATGCAATTCAGCTGACTTACCTTTTAGTCTATTAAAAAAATATATCAAGTCTGCTTCTAGTCTCTGAGGTTTTGTGATATTTATAGCACTTCATCTAAGTGAATAGTATTGATGTAATTTAAATATTTATTGCACATGTATGGATATAATACTAATTAAAAGCTTTTGTTCTAGAAAGTTAAATGTATATATTTTTATGATGCTTTCGATGGTCTGATACTAATCAGTGTTAAGATAAAAAAGCCTTATAGCACTAAAAACAATATAAATGTTACAGAATTTTAAAGAAAGCATTTAAAATAAGGTATCTTGGGCAAAGATATTTCTTGACTTCAATGTCCTTTGCAGCTCTATAGTTCCTTCAAGCAAGGTAAAAATCAGGAGTGCAAAATGATGATCTATTCAAGACTCCTTTTTAACAATAAGGACTCTGTAAATGATACAGCTCCAAAACCTGCCACAGAAGACCATTTGTAAAAGAAATTATAGTTATGGTAGTGCCTGCTTCCAAGTAATTGGCAAGACTCATTTTCTGGTTGATGTAAATGAGGCAAATCTGGATTTGTGATCACTGTCTCAGATGTTACTGCAGGAGGTTAATTAGACCTAACTAGTGTCTGTATCTTTCAAAGAGCAATGGCTTTCTCAAATGTGTACCTGATAGTTTATCTATCAACATGTGCAAAATACCTGAGACTCTCACCTATTTGTCTTATTGCTCTCAGCCAGTCATGCTAAAGTCAAAGCATTTAAACCTTCTGCACAGCTCTGTGCTACTTACTCCATTTTCGGGGAGACCAGTGCAAATATGAAAAATTCATTTCACTGTTGCGTCACATCATGGATAAACAGTTGGGCCAATGATATACAGCTGGTACTTCCAACTTCTGCTGTGTATGCAGAATCT